GTTCTGTAAATGAATTTGTTATTGAACACTGTAAATTGTGTTGGTCAAGAAGCCTAACTAACTCTTTTATCGACATAAACTTCACAGCCTCTTTTGTCAACCTTATAATTTGTAACTGAAATATTTTGGTGGGTGAGAACACTGTTTTTGGTATAATTTATTCAGATCTTCTAATAAACACAGGGACAAAGAACTGACTAGTACAAAATGTAGATGCATATTTTTATATCATATTAAGAGCATTCATTCGCATTTCTGACCATATAAAATGTCATGAAATATTTTAAAATCTTATCCAGAAGTAAAATGGTAAATAAATTGTTTGTGTGGTGTCTTACTGCATATGATGTGGGTGGATGCAAGTATATTTGGCCTCCTATGTTGAAAGGGCAAACTAAAAGGTTCTTAAATCTAAAACTTCTTGACGATGGTGAAGAGTCAATTGAATAAAAATTTCCTTGGATATTATCCATCGTATAGTAAATATAAAACGTAAAACGACGTTTTGGAGATAGGGATTAGCTCTATCTAGTGGGCCCAACTGTGTAGGAACCTGAAGACGGAATAGAGTCCCATCTGCGAAACGTCGTTTTACGTTTTATATTTACTAGACGATGAATAATATCCAAGGAAATTTTTATTCAATTAAAAGGGTTTTGGTATAACAATTTTTACCTCAGTCATTTTGTAGTTTGCTGTCAGTGAAGATCACTGATATGTCGAGAGTAATGTTAACGAGTTAATGTTTGTTTCAGGTGCTCAGAATTTCGCATCAAGCGTTAGTGGAGTTCTGTGACAGAACAAGAAGGATGTTGTCGCTCAGTCTTTATAGACACATATCACTGAAGCGCCGGCTGTTGGTATGGAAGTTTATAGTAAACTTACTCTAATTTCAAGGAAGTAAAACTTGTAAGCTTCTTTATGTGGTTTAGTGTTTTGTTTTCATAAAATTTGTGGTTCATAACAATCTTTGTAGATAATTGAAAGCAGTTATGTGTAATAACCTAGCAGAAGTTACTGAAATTGTAATGTCTTCTTATTAATAATAAATAAAGCTGTCCCACTATGTGCCATGTAGGCGTTTGGGGGAAGAGGAGATATAGCTTATCAAATCTAAAAGTTGTTAACGATGGTGATGAGTCATTTGAATAAATATTTTCTTGGATATTATCCATCGTCTAGTAAATAAAATATAAAACGTAACACGACGTTTCGGAGATGGGGCTCTATCTCCATCTTCAGGTTCCTACGCAGTTGGGCCCACTAGATAGAGCTAATTCCTATCTCCGGACAAAGTAAAAAAGTGAAAGTCCCAGAATACAAGAACATCACCACACCATCCATCCGTGGGACGTAAAAGAACAAAATAGTAGAAACAAAATTTGCTGAACATGAAAAAGCCAAATAAAAACAAAGACACACGAAAAGTGGGAATAAATACACATGAACATTAATTTGAAACTCGATGCACAACTTGGACTTCTTCAGAGATGACCGGAATCCAAATATGAGATAAATCCAAACTAAGCTGGCTGATAGGATTGGCAAGTAGTGCCATGTGTGCCGCCTCCTTGTATTTCCTGTAGACGGTATTAGGTTCTGTTAGTAACACCCTGGCTCCATCCCAACAGAAGAAGATCATCATGTCTAGCACGTGGATTCCGGTCATCTCTGAAGAAGTCCAAGTTGTGCATCGAGTTTCAAATTAATGTTCATGTGTATTTATTCCCACATTTTGTGAGTCTTTGTTTTTATTTTTTATTTGGCTTTTTCGTGTTTAACGAATTTTATTTCTACTATTTCTATTTTATTCTTTTACATCCCACGGATGGATGGTGTGGTGATGTTGTTATATTCCGAGACTTTCACTTTTTTACTTTGTTCGGAGATAGGGATTAGCTCTATCTAGTGGGCCCAACTGAGTAGGACCTGAAGACGAAGATAGAGCCCCATCTCCGAAACGCACTGAGCTACGCCAGCTCAAAATATTATTCTTGTATAATTAAAAAAAAGTTATTTACAAAAGAAATTCAATCATCTCTCATCTTTCGTGGTAGGCCATATATTGTTTATTAGGGTTATTGATTCTTTTTTTCTTATTATTTGCAGACTGCGTAGTGTTTCTCATAATTAAATCAATCTTAACAGAAAAAAAAGCAAACCTTATGTACAAGACAGTGTTAGTCCTGAGGCCGTAGTGTATAAAAGCCACATAGTGTTTTTTTGTTCTTAATTTTATACAGGTTCTGAGCAGAAAAGGACTGCAGAGGATTCAAATTGAGATTCCTTGATTCTTGCTGAAGCAGGTTTTATTTTTTGGGTTATGTTGTATGTCTGTAATTTTACTCTTGTTTGTCACTTCAAAGGCAAAAGAGGAGGAACTGATGGGATACAAGGAAAGAAGGGACTGCGTCGAGAAGAAGCTATCGGAACTGAAAGCGGCTCTGGTCCGAAGAGAGGCAGAATTTATGGCTGTGAAGAGAAGCCTAGAAGAGAGAAATGCATTTCTGCAGCAAGACTTGAAAGCAATAAAATCTGAAGCACAGGAGGGGTTTAGTTCCCTTAAAGAGCATTTAAATCATGAAAGATGGAAAGTGCAAAATATGAACGAACATCTGAGAGAAAGAAAGAATCAAATTGAAGATTTGCATAACGAGCTGCTACAAAGGCCACCAAGAGATTATGCTGTAAAACAATTGCAGGAATATGAAAGAATCATAAAAGAACAGGGAAATGTGATCAAGGAACTGACCATGAAATTAAGTCAACAAGGTAAGAATATTGCTAAACTAAGTAACTAGACGGCTTAGGGAACCCGAAGGTTCATCACTGAATTAACCAAAGCCCTCCACCGGACCCTGTCCTGGGCCAACAAAATCCAGTCTCCTTCAACTCTATCTCCCATAGATCCCGCCTGAGATTATCCTCCCATCTACGTCTAGGTCTCCCCAGAGGCCTCTTCCCCTCAGGCTTCCCAAACAGTGGACCCAACCAACCAGATGGCTTACGGAACCCGAAGGTTCATCACCGAACCAACCAAAGCCCTCCACCGGACCCTGTCCTGGGCCAACAAAATCCAGTCTCCTTCAACTCCTATCTCCCATAGATCCCGCCTGAGATTATCCTCCCATCTACGTCTAGGTCTCCCCAGCGGTTTCTTCCCCTCAGGCTTCCCGATGGATACCCGGTGCACACCTCGCGCCCCATCTGTGCGTGCCACATGCCCTGCCCATCTCATTCTTCTTGATATTGCTGAAGTTTAAAATTTGGTTGACAGCTTGAAAGAATAAGTAAGCTCTGAGTGACATGGGTGACTATGAAACAGCTCGTTTTGTAATTTTATCACTTCTGTTTAATTGCAAATACTCTTTAGAAATTTGTTTCCAATGCGTTCAGGCCTTAATCTTGTCTCTGAATCAGAAATGAAGTTCAGCATCCAAAGAAGATTTTAATTTTAGTTGGGAAATGACACCGTGATGCTGGATTTAGAACTGAAGGATAGCGTACGTTTTGCAAGCTGCTGCTTTCTCGGCTTTTCAGCTTCTTCTGAGGTTCAGAAAGTAAATGGGCTGAACCATTTATGTAACTGAGAGGAGCTTGCGTTTTCTGAGCTTATCGTCATAATTTTATCACAACTTACTCTTTAACTCCATAAATAATTATAATAATGAAATAAGGATGTGATTACTACTGTCACCTTACATTACACTTCCTTGCTTC